GAACATCGAGAGCCCTCGGGTGCACATACGGCAAGCCTAAGGTCCTGTATATCCGGCGTTGAAAGACAGAAAAAAAAAAAACAAGAGGCGACGAAATCGTCTTAGGGTTGCGAAGCGTTTTGGTAAAATTATCAATATAGATTGTGAGATTCTTAAAAATATTATAATATATGTGTGAAACAACTGTGATTTTTCACTTTCAAGAAATATGCACGCTGGGAGACGAACCCAGGACCTTACGATTGGGAAACGTGAGAAAACCACTCTACTAAGGCATCTACTAACATATTATGTAATAAATGAGTACGTTTGTTTTTTTAAAACATCGGTTACAACATGGTGCCCGCAAGAATCGACCTTACGATCTTTCATGTGCCAGATCAAACTTGCTCGACTATACTACCTAACTTGGACAGATTTGTCACGCAATTCTTTTAAACAGTATCCTTTGGGGCGAATGCAGCACACCTTAGGGTTTCAACTGTTTCTTTTTCTTCTCGCTTACTTCCTCTCGCTCGTTTCTTCTCCCCAGCAGAGGCTTGTTCTTACCTTGGCTTCTCTCTAAGACACCACGTGGGTATGTTGCTTTATCTCCTAGATTGCATCTTAGTGAGCTAGAGGAAGTATCTACGGTAGTCGTCTTCACATAGTTTCCTTCGCTTTCATTTTCACTTCTGCCACTTCTCTCATTTCGTTTTTTGTTTTCCTGGTCGGAATTTTCTTTTGTCCTCTACTTTAATTTCCACCTCCTTGCTCATTAGTCTGTTTTCTTTATTCCTTTCTCATGCGTTCCTACTTTTCGTAGTCTTCACGCTTAATCTCTTGTGTACCTTCTCACCTCCAGTTCATTTAGGCTATGTCTTTCCAGATCTGTCTATTTCGTTTTCTCCTTTGCTCCTTTCTTACACTGACGACTCCTCCATTTCCATTTAAGTACCGCGTAACCTGATTCTTATTTTATTACATCCTTTGCGTTTGCGTTTGCACCTGTGGTTCTTGTTGCCGTGGCCGTGGACTTCAAGAACGTCGTCGTTCAGATATGTAGAACCGCCGTGGTGAGTTCTTGCTTTTCTCCGTCCGTTTTTCCGTTTCTTTCGTTTATGTTTCCTTGCTAGTAATTGTTTCCCTTCGTTTTCTTCTACATCCATACTATCGCGTCAATCTTTGTTTCCTTATCCTGGACCTTGTAATCTTGGATTTTCTTTCTTTGCACAATCTTTTCAACTAGAATGGTCTAAAGTAGCGAAATTCTTTGGTGCAACAATCTTTTGTTCGTAGTTGCATCGATTCTTCGTTCCTCTTAGTTTCTGCACCACCTCGTGTTTCTCTCTTCCCCCCTGCATGTGCTCTCTCTGCTTTCTCTTCGCTAGTTCCAATTCCTTGCTTCCATCTTTCTCTCTATTTCAGTTTCCAGATTCCAATATTTAGTTGATGATGTCTCCCTTCTTCGTTCTCTCTGTCTCTTTCTCTCTCTCGTTCTCTCTCTCTCTAATGGTCCGTGTATTGATATAACCAAAGGGGTACAATCATGCAAACTATAGCTAGGATTCAGAGGCAAACAAGCACAAAAACTAGCAATCAAAGCACAAGTGTCTCTCTAGACCTCCATAAGAGGCTCAAGCACGGTACAGCAGTCCCCAAGGTGAAGCTCGGACTGCACTCCCCCCACGGGGGATTTTCAGCGACTGCCGCTTGAGAGGACTTCATGAGGTATCCAACCGACTGGGCTCTTTGCAGAGCCACGGACCAGCGTTGCCTGAGGAGGTGAAGGAACCGAGCTGCATGGTGAGAGGTAGGTTGGGCGTTGAAGTGACGCCGAGCAGCTGTATCCGCTAGTAACTTCAGAAATTTTGGGACCTCCGCACAGGGGCAGCCGTACGTTTCAACTGCAAGGGGGAAGAAGCCGACCGTGTCAGGCCGGTTAGCGTAGTGGCTGATTTTCTTTGTCAGCCTGCTCCCTTGCTGCCCATTCCCTCCCCTTAGTGGCATTGGGATCCCTAGTGCTAATGGGATCCGTGATGGTGACATCACAGGCGTAGACCGCCCCCGAGCTCTTATCACGCATGGTGAAGTCGGCGGTCTGCTCTTCTATGGGGCAGTATGCAGCTGATTCACTATGAACTATGAAGCCAGCATCCTGTGCCATCGTAATACACGCATCCCTCAGTTCATTGTGGGTGTTGATCCTGTGCTTGCCCGTTCCGCAGCGGAAGAGGTGGTCGGCAGCCGGGGGTCTGTGATCTCTACATGCTTAGAGCAGTCACAGTTTCTGGGTGTAGAGAAGGGAAGCCCCAGTCTGAAGCGGACGGCATTGGCGAAGTGCTCGCGACCAACTCTGCGGGTATGTTCTATTGGGATTGCAGTCAGCCAATCCCCCGTGCCGTAGCCGGTCAGTGAGAAAAATCGTTGGGTATGGCCTGACAATGGGTTCAGTCGCATGTGCCGTGTTGCTTGTACCTGTTTGGCATACCTCCTCCCCTGCACTCTCACCCCGAGCTCGTGCTGCAGCTTTAGATCTGAAGGCTCGAGTCTCTCCTTATCTAGGACGTCCCTGGCCTCCTGCAGCAGTGCTCTCTCGCATTCGGTCAGCCAGCTGTGCAGGGCGGTGGTTCTATCTCGCGGAAGCCGCATGTGGTTCCTTGCCGCTGTCAAGGCCCCTTCTGACTCTATCGGCAGGGCACTAAGGAGGAGGGATGCTTGCATGAAACTGGCAAGGAAACCAAATGTTCCCTCCACCGTCGGGTCTGTGAGTCCTATGCCCCCAAGCGATGGTGGGAGTGATGACTGCTCCCAAACCCGGGTCTGTTCTTCTTCGTCCGTTGGAAAGCGGATGCCGCACGCTGTAAGGAGGGTGGTCAACAGGTCCCTGCCCCACTGGGACCAGGTGTCTCTGTTCAGAAGGTGCAGGGGGGTCGTTCGCGTGAGATATGCTACTCGGCGTGAGATGCAGCGAGTGAGTAGGAGAGATGCGACTTGCGGATCCATCCGTTCTATCAGTGGCAGTGGTTTGGACATCGACTGGAGCTGCGCGGACAGAAAGGAGGCGGCACCGTCTGTTGTCCCTAAGAAGCTACCGAGAAGCCGGACACCATCAGTACTAGTCGGCACCCCGGGCGGCAGCTGCACTTCCTGGTCTATCGTGTGTTTGCTCCATGCGACACATTTCCCCGGGTTGTGTCGCAGACCTACTTGAGATAATTGGCTCGTGAAGTGCGAAAAGGCAGCTACGGTATCATGGTGTTTGCCTAAGTAGCTGACGTCATCAGCGTATGCCAGGCATAGGACGCCGGGATGTGCTGCTGCTGTTTCTCTTAATGCGGGGTGGATCCCAGCCGCGAACAGGAGCGGACCTAAGGGGTCCCCTTGACGCACCCCACGTTCACTTCTCAGTGGTGCGCTACTGAAGCTAGCGTCTAGGTATAGAGATGATGGGTGGCCGTATGTCAGCTTGACTAGTGGCAGGAGGGGTGAGAGTGTCGGGTCTTGTAAAGCTGTTATTATGGCTTGTCTCGAAATGCTGTTGAAGGCGTTGGAAATATCTGTCCGTAGCGTGAGGCAGTTGGGGTGTGCATCCGTGTATGCTCGAGCGGTGTGGATGATTGCCTCCGCCCCTCCTGGCACAACTACACCATACTGAAGAGGGAGAAAATAACCCCGGGCCGCTTCGCCCAGGGCTGCCAGCGCAGCTTTTGCAGTCAGGCGGGTCAGGCTTTCTCCAATCGCTATTGGGCAGGCCCCACCCTCAGGCTTGGCCAGAGCTATCAGACGAGATGATGTGAGCAGTTCTGCAACTGGCAGCGGCAGTTTCCCCCTCAAGATCGTATTTACTAAGGCGTGCAGATGGGTCGAGACAGATGCGTTGGTTACTGACGAGTCGCGAAGATGTTCGAATGTCATTCCACTCGGGCCGGCCCCGATGCCGTTTTGGCATCGACTCAGCATTTTCGAAAAATCCGCGTAGGAAATTTCAAGGTTGGGAGGTTCGGTGATGTCAGGCCAGGTCAGGGGTTCAGGGTCGGCTGCGGGATGCTTTCGGCGAAGCTCCTCCAGAATCTCTGGGCTGGGCGTACAGACTGGTGTTGACTCGAGCGCCAACACGGCCCGGCCCAGACTCCCTTTCTTTGCTAGGCCCTCCGCTCTGCTGATGGTGCCCACGTCGTCAGGCTGATGACGTGGTGGGGGTGGTGTATTGACTGCTTCAACCGCGTCCAAGTACAGCTGCTGCCACTCACCGCGCTGAAAAGCACGGAGCCGTGCCTTGATTTTGGGCCAATCAGGTCGTTTCGGCGAACCCTGTCGCAGAGTCAGGCGCGGGAGAAATAAGAGTAACTTCCAACCCGCGATTGAGTCTGGGCTTCGCGAGAGGTGCAGGAGTGGTGTCAGCACTGCGAGCGAGAAGATCTCGCACAAGTTTGGCGGTAGCCGTCGTAACAGAGTTGGTTGGCGACTATCGCAGAGTGGCGAAATGTCCCACCCCGCCACCTCGGCGAATTTTTCCGTCTGCCTCGCCAGCTCCTCCGGCGAAAAATAGCGCGGACTTTGGGACTGGCAAGCCGCATTTGCCAGACCCCTAGCTGCTCGGTTTGTGCGCCCGCGGCTCGAAGTACGGGTTGAGGGCGGGTTTGGAATGGTGACCGTCGGATCCACATCCTGTGGTCCCTGAGCGCCTCCTGCCTGCACCCCCGATCCTCTCTGGTTCCCTCCATTTCGTCCCGTCGTCTGTTCTCTCTCACCCTCCTCGTCCTCCTCGCTCGGCTCTTGTGCTTCCTCTCTATAAGACGGGTCGTTTTGCTCCTCAGGGTCAGTATTCTTGTCGAGTTGCATTAAAGCCCTACGTGCCGCCGCCTGGAACGCGTTCTCCGGTCCGCCTTCAACTTCCCGTCCTTCGCGGCATCCTCCTCCTCGTCTCCTCCCGCCTCGCGATGGTGATTGCTGGCGACTCGTGGCCATCGCCAAAGCCCGCTGCCGCTGCGTCAGCGGCGAGCGGAAGGTCACCGCCGATGTCTGCCTCGGGGAATGCTGCATTGAAGCCACCAGTCCCCCCTGCCCCGAAGCCAGCGCCCGCGGTCGCTGCTGACTCTGCATCTCCGGCTCCGGACCTCGTGTCGTGTGAGGCTCCGGCGCCTCTCCTGCCTACCCCTGTTGCTGAGCCGAGCCTTCCTGCGGGTCCCGCGCCCTCCGCGCCTGGTCCGCCGGCTGTCCCTGTGGAATCTGCGGGACCGCCTGCAGTTGCTGAACCTGGTGTTGCTCCGCTCGTGCCTGAACTCCTTGCGGCACTGCCCGCCGTTGCTGTCCCTGTTGCCCCCGACGCGGCTATTGGTTCGTCGCCAATGGCGGTGTCCGCCACTACTGGCGGCCCGGGCCCGAATGTGGCACCAGCGGGGGCCACCCAGGCGGCGCCCGTTGCTGCACCTGTGGGTCAGCAGCCGGGCCAGCGCTCCTCTCGCCCGCATTCTCCTGCGCCTCGTGAGGAGCGGGAGTCGTCACGACGCCGTCGTGATTCTCCCTGGCGCAACCGTTCGCAGGCGAACTGGCATGCACAACATGGCGGTCGTGGTGGATGGCGGGGAGGTCGCGGTTACGGCAGCGGCTTGGCGTATGTTCAGCCGATCTCCCTCGCGGACGTGCAGCGTGTTGTCTCAGCGGCGATACGCGAGGAGAGGGCGGTGTAGCGCCGTGCTCCGGCTCCTGCGGCTCCTCCTCCGGCTGTTCCTCCTGTGACTGTCGCTCCGTCACGTCCGGCTGTTGCTCCCGTTCCTCTTGCCTCTGCTCAGGCTCCCTCCGTTCCTGCCGCCTCTGCTGCCGTACGTGACCGCCGCTTGTGGCTACTGCAGGTTCCTCCAGTTGCGGGACTGGAATTTGTGACTGCGGCAGGAGGAGCGGTGACGGCACAGTACCCGCCCCTATTGGCCGCTGATCCCGCCCCCCCGTCTGTTCTTGATGCTCCGCTCCTCCCGACCTTGCCTGGGCCTCCTCGCATGGCTGAGGTCCCGGAAGCGAGCCTGGTGCAGATGTGGCGCCTCTGTGAGGCCCTTCGAGCCGTCCACCTGATCCAGGTGTACGGTCATGCTGCTCTGTTCCAGGGAAATTCCCTGGATGGAGGCCCTCGGGACGAGTGCCTTGATGCGGCGGATCGGCTCGCCGAGCTCCTGGAGCCCGTGCTGGCTGCGCCTGTGCGGGTTGTAATTGCGGGCGTTGGGCAGCTTGGAACGGCTGTCCGTGGGTTGAAGCGGGTCCTGCGCGTTGGGACTGGAGACGAAGTGATCGGCGCAAGCGCGGCGGTGGTGCGGGAGCTTCACCGATCTCAGACTGGGCTTCTTGCGGTTCACGACGCGGATCAATACTAGTATCCGCCGGGGCTTCCTCCCCTGTTGCATTCCCTTGTTACCCCATCAAGACCCCTCTAGTAGAACTCCGCTCTTGCCATGCGTGTATCCTGGTGCTTTAGTCGATCTTGTTTCGCCTTGTGTGCTTGTCGCAAAATTTTCAGCACCAACTGAACAATGAGATGAAGAGGCCCAGAGAGGCCTCTTATATAGCTCACAGAGGAGAGGGCAGAGGCTAAAGGGAGAGGGCAGAGGCTAGGATCCTCTCTCTCTCTCTCTCTCTCTCTCTCTCTCTCTTTCTCTCTCTCTCTCTCTCGATCTCTCTCTCGATCTCTCTCTCCCAATCTTTCTCTCTCTCTCGTTCTCTCTCTCTCTCTCGTTCTCTCTCTCTCTCTCGTTTTCTCTCTCTTGTTCTCTCTCTCTCTCTCTCTCTCTCTCTCTCGTTCTCTCTCTCTCTCGTTCTCTCTCTCTCGTTCTCTCTCTCTCGTTCTCTCTCACCCGTTCTCTCTCTCTCTCTCGTTCTCTCTATCTCGTTCTCTCTCTCTCTCTCGTTCTCTCTTTCGTTCTCTCTCGCGTTATCTCTCTCTCGTTCTCTCTCTCTCTCTCGTTCTCTCTCTCGTTCTCTCTCTCTCTCGTTCTCTCTCACTTGTTCTCTCTCTCTCGTTCTCTCTATCTCGTTCTCTCTCTTTCGTTCTCTCTTTCGTTCTCTCTCGCGTTATCTCTCTCTCGTTCTCTTTCTCTCGTTCTCTCTTTCTCGTTCTCTCTCTCTCTCTCTCTCTCTCTCTCTCTCTCTCGTTCTCTCTCTCTCGTTCTCTCTCTCTCTCTCTTTCTCTCGTTCTCTCTCTCTCGTTCTCTCTCTCTCTCGTTCTCTCTCTCTCTTGTTCTCTCTCTCTCGCTTTCTCTCTCTTGTTCTCTCTTTCTTTCTCTCTCTCTCTCTCTCTCTCTCTCTCTCTCTCTCTCTCTCTCTCTCTCTCTCTCTCTCTAATGGTCCTTGTATTGATATAGCAGCAAGGTACAAGCATGCAGTGTATGGATGTAACAAACAAACAAACAAAGCACCAATTCCTACTCACTATTCCCCTAGAGCTCCAAGATGGGCTCTACCACCGCAAAACAGTCCCCTAGGTGTAACTCTTGACCAATACCCCCTACAGGCGGGTTCTCTGCTGCTGCCGCCTCGCCCAACTTGAGTAGAAGACCCACTGATTGGGCCCTCTGAAGGGCCACTGACCATCGCTGCCGAAACTGGTACAGGAACTTGGCGGCACAAAAGGATTTAGAGTCGGCGTTAAAGTGGCGCCGAGCCGCCGTGTCTGCAAGTAGCTTCAGGAAGGTTGGTACTTCCGCGCATGGGCAGCCATAGGTGTCAACTGCCAATGGGAAGAAGCCAACCGTCTCCGGCCGGTTGGCGTAATGCTGGATTTTCTTATCCGCTTGTTCCCGTGCCGCCCATCCCCTGCCTTTCTGCGCCTCTGGGTCCCTCGTGCTTATGGGGTCCGTGATGGTGACATCACAGACATAAACCGCCCCACTGCTTCTATCCGTCATGGTAAAGTCGGCGGTTTGTTCCTCGATAGGGCAATGGGCGGCCGACTCGCCGTGAACAATGAAACCTGCGTGCTGCGCCATGCTAATGCACGCATCCCGTAGCTCGTTGAGGGTGTTGATGCGGTGTTTGCCCAAGCCGCAGCGGAGGAGATGGTTCGGCAGGCGGGGATCAGTGATGGCGGTCTTGTCCGCGCAGTCGCAGTTCTCAGGGGTTGAAAAGGGGAGGGCCAGGCGGAATCGAACGGCGTTGGCGAAGTGTACGGGGCCTACCCGTCTGGTGGGTTCAATGGGGATCGCGGTCAGCCAATCGCCGGTGCCATACCCTGTCAGCAAAAACATACGCTGCGTGTGGCCTGAGAGTGGGTTCAGCCGCATGCGCCTGGTTGCCTGGACCTGTACAGCGTATCTGCTTCCGTGCACCTTTAGCCCGAGCACATGTTGTAGCCTAATATCCGATCGCTCCAGCCGCTCCTTCTCCAGGATCTCGCGCGCGTCTAGTGGCAGAGCCGCTTCGCACTCCTTGAGCCAAGAATGCATCGGCGTGCTGTCGTCTCTTGGCAGCAGCATGTGGTTCTGAGCGATCGTCAAAGCATTCTCCGGTGCTAGCGCCAGCGAGGACAAGAACAGCGCCGCTTGAGTGAAACTCGCTGTGAAACCGTAGATCCCTTCAACGAGCGGGTCTGTAATGCCGATGCCACCCAGCGATGTGGGCAGCGACGCCTGCTCCCACACACGCGTTTGCTCGGTGCGGCACGTTGGCATGTGGATGTCGCAGGAGGTGAGTAAGGTAGTGAGCAGGTCCCGACCCCACTGGCTCCAGGTGTCGCGGGGAAGTAGGTGGAGCGGTGTCGTTCTAATGAGGTAGGCTACTCGTCTAGAAATGCATCGCGTGAGTAGCAGCGCGGCTACTTGGGGGTCAGCTCGTTCTATTAGTGGCAGCGGCTTTGTCATCTCGGCTAGCTGTTCGGTTAGGAACTTAGCTACTCCGGCGTCCGTCCCCACGTAGCTACCCAAGACCCGTACCCCGTCCTTTGAAACCGGCACCCCGGGTGGGAGTTGTGCTTGTGTGACTGTGATCGAGCTCCAGGCCGCACATTTCTGCGGATTATGCGTCAGGCCCAGGCGTGCCAGCTTGGCTGCGAAGTCTGTGAAAGCTGCTACAGTGCACAAAGTGTCGCCCAGGAAGGTGACATCGTCCGCATACGCCAAGCAGAGCACGTTGGGGTGTGCCTCTGTAATCTCACAGAGCGTGGGGTGTATTCCCGCTGCAAACAGTAACGGGCCTAGTGGATCTCCCTGCCGAACGCCCCGTTCATTTTGCAGCGGTTCGCAGTTGAAATCAGTGTCGAGGAACAGCTGCGACGGGTTACCGTAAGTCAGTTTTACAAATGGCTATAGTGGCAAGAGTCCGGGGTCCTGTAACGCAGTGGCGATGGCACGTCGCGAAATTCTGTTGAATGCATTCGAAATATCGGCTTGGAGGACCAGGCTGTCAGGACAGGCATCCAAGAATGCCCTGGCTGCGTGTATTACCGCCTCTGCTCCACCTGGCACTGCCACGCCGTACTGAATTGGCAGGAAATGTTCGCGGGCAGCTTCTCCCATGGCTATCAGGGCTGCCTTGGCTGTCAGCCTTGTCAAACATGCGCCTATCGCGATTGGCCGGGCTCCTCCCCCAGGCTTGGCCAGAGCTATGAGCCGTGACGCAGTCAGGATTTTTGCGACCGGGCCTGGCAAATTCCCTCCGAGCATGGTATTGACCAAGGCATGCAGATGGGTGCTGACCATTCCGTTGGTGATCGCCGCGTCGCGTAGGTGCTCAAATGTCGTACCTGAAGGTCCGGCCCCCACCCCGTTCTCGCACCTTCCAAGAATCTTGGCGAACTCAGCATGGGTGATGGACAGTTTTGACTCTGGTGGCTCGGGCCAGGTCACTGCTTCGGGTACTGCTGGCGGGTGCTTCTGACGCAGCTCTTCCAATATTTCCTGGCTCGGGGTGCAGACGGGTGTTGACTCCACGGCCAGCACGGCCCTGCGTAGGCTGCCACGTTTCGCCAGGCCCTCGGCTCGGCTGATGACTCCGGTCGTGTCAGGCTGGTGTCATGGCGGTGGGGGTGTGTAGACCGCGTCGACCGCGTCGACCGTGTCCTGGTACAGCTGCCCCCATTCGCCGCGCTGAAAGGCTCGGAGCCGGGCTTTGACCCCCGGCCAGTTCGGTCGTTGTGGCGAGGTCTGGCGAAGTGTTAGGGGCGGGAGGAACAGCAACAGGCGCCAACCCTCCTCGGATTCGGGGTTTCGCGATAGGTGGAGTAACGGTGTCAGTAGCGCCAGCGAGAACAGTTGGCAGAGATTAGGCGGTAAACGGCGTGTCAGCGAAGGCTGGCGACTGTCGCAGAGTGCCGCGATGTCCCAGCTCGAGATGGTTGCGAACAGGTCTGCTCGCTTCGCCAGTTCGTCAGGGGGAAAATAGCGGGGAGTCGGAGTGGTTTGGCGCGTCGCGACATTGGTAGCGGTCCGATTTCGTCGAGTGCTGCCCGTCCGCCCTGGCAGGATTGGGGTTGGAATTTCACCCGTTCGATTGACATCGGACGGTCGCTGATCTGCCTGTGCTGCTTGCGTGGCCGAGAGCCCTACCCTCGCTACTCCTCTTCCCGCTGCCTCCCTTGTTCTGCCTTCGTCCTCGATCCCCTCGTCTTCGCTTGGAGGGAGGGATTCTTCCCTATAAGATGGGTCCCTTAACTCGTCATCCTCATTAGTTGCCTCTAGAGCCGTTAAAGCCATACGCCCCGCCGCTTGATACCCGTTTTCCGGACCTCCGCCTGTCCCGCTCATAACCTGCCTCCTGGCCCCGCTGCCTCCCCGCTCTCCAGATGGTGATTGCTGGTGCATCTGAGCCATCGCCAGTGCGCGCTGCCGCCTGGTCGGCTGTGGTCGCCCAGCCTCAGTCGGGGCCCGGAAAGGCGACCATGCCGACGGAGCCCCCTGTACCGCCGGCTCCGACGCCCTCGACAACAGTCGCTGAAAAGACTCTTCCCCACGCAACCGCGGATCCCCTTGCCGTGTCGGGGGCTGGCCCGTCTGTTCCTGCGGCTGCTCCGTCCGCTCCGCCGGCTGCTCCTGTTCCCCTGGCCCTCTTCGTCGAGCCATTGGTGCCTGCTCCTGCTGGGGGTGTTGCTGATCCCCCAGTTCTTGTCCCTGGCGCGCCCGTTGCACCGCCTGCTTCCGTCCCCGACGCGCCTGTACCGGCTTCTGTTTCGTCGACAAAAGCGGCGTCCGCCACCACTGGCGGCCCGGCTCCGTCGGTTGCGCCTGCTGTGGCGCCGATGGCCCCGGCAGGTCAGCCGTCACGTCTCCCGTCGCCTGACCGCCGACCGTCTCGCCCTCATTCCCCCTCGCCCCACCAGGATCTCAAGTCGTCTCGTCGCCGTCGTGATTCTCCGCGGCGATACCAGCAGCAGCCTCACTGGCCTGCT